ATTACTAGTATAATTCAATATTATGAAAATAAAAGCTGAATTTATATTATTTGTCATTTGTGTTTAGATTGGTTGCGAAATTGAAGAAAGTAGAAAAATATTAGAATAGGTAGAAAAAATAAAAAAGGACCAAATCTGAAGAGATAACTTGTATTTAACCATTGAAAATTTAAATCTTTAATTTTCCGCGAAAATGGTATTTTAGTGGTTGCGTTGTAATGGGTTATTATGTAAATAATTTACCTGTTATTTTGTGGTCCGAAAGATCAATGAATGTAGGTGTAAAAAACTAAATATTTTAGCAAGTATGGCTGAGTGTTTAAAATCAGTTTTATGATTTCGATTTTTTAATGTGCGATTTTTTAATGCTCCGATTGCGGAACACTACGTTTTTTAGTGCTCCGACTCCGGTACATTACGATTTTTTAGGGTTAAGACTGCGGTACACTACGATTTTTAGCGCTCCGACTGCGAATCACTACGATCATCGTTGTGTTCCGGTACAGTACACTAAAATATTTTTACCGTACCGGTACACTACCAATATTGGAATACTTCGGTCGACTATATATGGCACCACATGCACGTTCTAACATTTTCTAAAAATTATTACATATCTCATATCAAGTGAAGGAAATAGTCGATTTAGTAAAAACCTGGCACGTCGCAATATTTACATCATATTTATTTAGGTCCTATACCAAATGGACAATATTGGTTCATACCCTCGGAGCCCACTCCATGGAGGGTCAACAATTTGAATAATCATAACAGTAATCAAAATAACGGATATTCGGTATTCAATATTTAGATTTCGTAATGGGGTATATCCTACGACAGATCATTGTCTATTGTCTAGATCCACGTTTTCCTATAGCACAAGTGCAACAGTACATTCCGATATTCGATATGTTAATGATTTTAGCAGCATTTTCAACGGAATTGTAACAAATTTTATATTTCAAACTCGCAACGTTACGTTGCAGTTTAATGTTTTCGTAAAACTCCTATATACAGAGTGAGATGAAAAAATTGCAACCAAATTCAGACTGATGTCATTTCTAAGCCACTCGTCCGACAGCTGTTATAATTATTCCAGTGACAGCTCATTATATTGTTTATAAGCGTGCAAAAGCATTTTGGTGAGCATTTTCCAGAAAAAAGTTATTCGTGATGGAATTCAAGAGTGATAGTGTGATTTCTTTATATTTAGCTGGAAGACCACAAGTGGCTATCGTTAGAGCACTTCAGCATTTAAATGTGAATAAATCTTTTGTGTCTCGTACCATCGCTCGTTACCGTGATACTGGTTGCGTAGCCCGACGTCAAGGAAGTGGACGGAAGAAAACTGCAACATCAGCAGAACTGATTCGAAAAGTAAAGAAGCGACTTGATCGAAACCCGCGTCGCTGTGGCCGAAAAATAGCTCGGGAGCTGAACATATCGGAATATTCTATTCGGCAAATATTGAAAAATGAGCTCGGGGTAAAGCCATTGAAATTCCAAAAAGTGCAAGAACTTACACCGCAACAGAAAGAAAATAGACTCAAAAAAGCTAAAGAGTTGCTTCGCTTGGCCGAAAGTGGTGAACTGCCGAATTTGGTTTTCTTCGATGAGAAAACATTCGTTGTCCAGCAGTTTGTAGACAAACAAAATGATCGCGTTTACTTGCCAAAGAGGTCATCTCATCAAATGTACATCTTTGGTTGGCCACCAGAACTCAAGCGCCGGTGTGGGCCCCCAAGAGCCGATGGTCGCTCTCCGTTCGTATTAATCGACCGTGGAATCTGAATAAATGCCGAATATTGTCGCGAAAATACTCTGGAGGGTGTATTAAAGTCTTGGGCACGCAAACGTTTTGGCCGCAGATCTTGGGCATTCCAACACCATCGCACTCAGCACGCGCCACGCCAGAATGGTTATAAAATGAGGTTGCTCGCTTAATTTCCAGCGCACAATGGCCACCAAAATCTCCGGATACTAATCCGTTGGACTTTTGTGTCTGGAGTATTTTGGAAAGCAAGGTTGGCACTAAAAAATACCAAAGTGTCGGTCACCTCAAGCAAGCGCTTCGCCGGGAATGGGTCAAAATACCGCAGAGCAACATTCGTGCAGCGTGTGACGGTTGGCCGTTTGAAAACCATAATTCGTGCCAAAAGTGACAAATTCGAACAAATCTAAACTTATTCTAAAATGTTATGCTATTTCCGACATTTTTTGCTTTCATTCAATAAAATTTAAAAAAATGTAAAAATTATGGCGTCTCCTTTAAATTTAGTGAATAACGATTCAGATTAAGATATAGCTTTCTTATGTATTCTAGCAAGTGTCCGTTGGGCTTAATCCCATTATTGTTGTTTTTATAAAAACAATGTTTGTATATTAGTGGAGGACGATGATAATATTTACCAGGAGGTAAGGCAGGGAATACCTAGGTTTCGGAAAGAGCCACCAATCCTTATCAGTTCCCTAGCTTTTTTCTGCGATATTCTCTCCAGAAGTTATTTTAAAATGTAGGGTATCATATTGTCGGCCCAGCATGACTTTTCCATACTCGTTAAAATATGTAGGTGCAAGGATGGATCAGATGAATCTGCTAACGTAAAGACTCTATCTTGAGATAACAATACCTTGTTGTGTTTAAAAAATATTTTTCGATCCGTTGTTTCTTAGCCGCTTTAGGTTATTTTGTGCATAAATGTTATTAGTTAGCTTTTTCATGGTCGTAAAATATTTGTCGATGAAATTTAATTCACATATTGCTGAAATCTAGTTCATTTTAGCTGATTTTCCATCCAAATTTTTAAAAATACTGACATTTTTGAGCCTTGAGCTACTTGAAAATAGATTTTTTTGAAAAGGTGCAAATTTGTGCAAACTTTTTTACAAATATAATACAACACTTTATTATCTTTCACCACATGTATATTGTTTCCCAAATACATTCCAATACCAAAAACTAAATTAAAAGAAACAATAAATTCACCCAATAGAAAATTTACAGCGTTTAACAATACTTTTTATTTTCAATGGTGATCTTAAATTACATTCTTCTCCTATTTTCCACATATTTTACATTTTTTGTTGTTAATATATTGAAAACAGTTTTTGTTTTGCGCCAATAATGATATATGTAAGGTTTCATTGAGTTGAAATGTCAGGAAATGGCAAAGAGAAAATATGACATCTTTGGGAATTTTTTTTTTTCAAAGTTTTAAAAGTATTATGACCACAATTCCATTATTATTATTATTATTATTTTTTTTTTTCAAACGACTAACTTTAAAAAATGATTTTTTTTCTCGAAAACATGCCATTGGCCTCATAGTGCATTGTCAATATAATTATTTCGAGGATTTGCAAACGAAATGACAAATTCCACTCCGTACTGGGGGCAGGGTATAAAACAAAACGGGTTTTACTTGTGAGGTCAATGGCATGGGAATTTATATTAACCTACACTACACTACTGTGGTTTACTAGTGTAGGGACCAACAGTGTTGTATAAAGCAAAGTTTGATTCAACGCAACATCTGGTGGTTTACATTTCGGCCAATCGATGGAAAATGAATGCATCGAACTTGTTCCTCATGTTCGCATAATTGACGTAGCAGCAGCAGTCAAACAGATGTTCTGTATGCTGAACGAAACATGTGCATTGTGGTCGAAGAATATCGGATTTCGGATTACCTCAGTAGCTACATCTCATATATGAGTAGACATGGAACATAAATAATATGTTGGAGCAGCATATAATACATAACCCAGCACAATGTTCGATGTCAAGGAAGCTGTTCAATGATGGAGGTAAATGACTTGAATGTTCGACATTAGAATAATTCGATATTAGAATAATATTAGAAGTAGGTATACCTACATAATGATGTGTAAATGTGTAAAATCCAATTTTGTGAACGCATACAGATTAGAAACCAAAAAGATTGATTTATTGTCACTTCATTATCACTTATCCACGCACGGTCTTTTGCTTCAAAAGCCCATCACAAAATGATTCATATTATGATATAGCTCGCATATACTTAACGTGAATCATTCTGTGTTGAGCTTGAGCCTGTTGAGCGACAGCGGAATGAAAAATGAAAAGTGGTAGTGTAAGTTAAGGTGTTTCAACTAGTGGTGGCACGCGGTGTATTGGCATCGAAAATTGTGAACTGTGACTATCGTTTGTCATTCTCGGAAACGTTTGACCATTCCCATTCCTAGAAAGAGCAGCAGTAGTGGAAGTGGCATAATGTGAAATCCGTTTAGTGGCTTTTGCGTTATTGAAGAACAAACATACAAACACAATTGTGCACGATAACACAATATTATATAAAAATTCATAAATTTATTAAAAAAACAATTGTGTTGTGGCCGATGCAAAAAAAGTTTACAAATTTCAGGCAATTATATAATTATTTTTCCGAGATTAAAAATTCAACAGTTTCTTATACCATTTAAAAACAAATTTTTTACTATAACATTTGCCATTTTGACATTTTGCGCAACAGCTGATTTCTTGCTAGTGTTTCTGAATGCTGTTCCATTACTGTTTGCAATATTTGTGCGTGGGAGAGAAAATCATTTCAATACAAGTTACTCAGTAATTTTACCGGAAAAGTAATCGTTATCGTTGTCGAACATTGCATTTTATGAAGATTAAAAAAGAAAAAAAAAACAAATTTGAAGAACTATCCTTGGATTTGGACGAAAATAAGTGAACTCTAAAATGAGCTACAACAGCACCAAATAAATTTCCCTCATAAGTGACTATTGAAAAACTAATCTAGCGATATTTTCTTTAGGGATTGCATCACACAAGTCTTGTAGCGGAAAAAGAATACTACAGCCACTCGATTTCAAATCAATCATTTCATAAATCCAATGGATATTATTTGACGTATACGCTATGAACATGGCATATGAAATCAAATAAATACGTTAATCTAAACGTACTTTAAGTTCCCTTTTAGAACGATTTGATTTGCTAGGTATTAGCGATATTTCAATTGTTAATAAAATACTCGTACGATAAATCAGCACTGCTCAAGACCGGAAGAGTCGGCTAAAGAGAAGAGATAAGAGAAATTTAATATCTTGTTTTTATTTGTATTTATTGTTAAATTCTAGTAGATCTGGAACAGAGAATATATTGGAATACAATAACTAAGCAGATAATTGTGGAGCAGAGCGAAGCGCGTCGGGATTATCTTCAGCACATTGCCATACGATGTTTGCTTGCATTGCAGACTATTTCTTTTGTTATAAATTTGGGGTTTAACGACTATCGGAACAATCATCCTAAATAAATCTTTTATGCTTTTACTTACTTCCAGTGGCCCGTCGGACGACAGTGTGTGTAAAATTGCCCAATGCTGCAACAGTTACAATGGAATCTTTCTTTCCACTGCTCATCTGAAACGTAAACAAATAAAAAATTGAAATGTGTATATTAAAAATGAGTAATTTAAAATGTGTATATAAAAAAATGTTTTTGTCATAGGAGTTATTTTTAGATAACTCCTGGGGAGGATATATCTAGACAAAAATCAAGAAATTAATGAAGATTTAGAGCTCTCAATTGAGGGATTGAGGGCTTCGAAACCATAGTGTTCCCTGATTTACCCCTTGGTAAATGTTACCATCTACCTTTTTGTTTTGAAACAACAATAAAACCACGGTATTTCAAATAAAATACCAACACAGTTTTTTTTTAATTAGCAACACTGCTCTTTATTTAATAAAAATATTTGTTTAATGTTGATCTATTCCAGAACCTGCAAATCTATCAGCGTTCGAAAATAAACAGTACACAAACATAGTGTACTGTACCGGTACAGCATCACAAAAAAAATTTAGCGGTAGTATACCGGTACACTACCACTAAAAAATATTTTAGTGATACTGTACCGGAACTCAACGATGATCGTAGTGTACCGCAGTTGGAGCGCTAAAAAATCGTAGTGTACCAAATGCACCACATTAAAAAAATTATATCATAAAACTGATTTTAAACTCCTTTGCCATACTTTGTATAATACTTAGTTTTTTACACCTACATTCATTGATTTTTCGGTATCACAAAATTATTTGCAAATACCCTTTATCCTTTTTATTCTTTCTACCTATTCCCATATTTTCCTACTCTCTTCAATTTCGTAACCAATACGATTTCGTAGTGCTCTGACTGCAGTACACCAAGTTTTTTAGAGCTCCGACTGCGCTACAGTACGATTCTCGTTGTGCTCCGGTACAGTATCAATAAAATATTTTTTAAGCGTTGTGCTCCGGAACGATACATTATCTTGGGCACACAAACATTTTGGCCGCAGACCTTGGACATTCCAACAGGACTCAGCACCATTGCACTCAGCACGCATCAACCAAGAATGGTTATAAAATGAGGTTCCTCGCTTCATTGCCGGCGCGCAATGGCTACCTAAATCTCCGGATTCCAATCCGTTGGATCCGTTGTGTCTGGAGTATTTTAGAAAGCATGGTTAGCGCTAAAAAATACCAAAGTGTTGATTACCTCAAGCAAGCGCTTCGCCGGGAAATGAGCCAAAATACCGCTGAGCAACATTCGGGCAGCGTGTGACGGTTTCATTGGCCGTTTGAAGGCCATAATTCGTGCCAAAGGTGACCAATTCGAACAAATCTAAACTTATTCTGAAATTTGATGCCATTTCCGACATTTTTTCTTTCATCAATTAAATTAAAAAAAAAAAAACAAGTAAAAAAACATTAATTTCGGCTGGGCCAAACTTTTAATACCCTCCACCTTATGGTAAAGGAAACATTAGAAGAAATGTGGCAAAAACCATTAAAATGCCGAATATCGGAGGTACCGTTATATGGGGGCTATACCAAATCGTGGACCCTCGACTTAGAATTTTATACAGGGGCAACACTGTATATTTACGACGAATATTTAACGATGTTACAAACGGAATGACAAAGTTAATATACCCTCCTTTCCAAGGTGGATATATATATATATATATATATATATATATATATATATATATATATATATATATATATATATATCGGTACCACAAAATTATTTGCAAATACCCTTTTTCCTTTTTATTCTTTCTACCTATTCCCATATGCATGCATCAACAACCGAAGGCATCTGAGAACGGTTAAGGAATTTTGATAGAAATTGAAAAAGCCTTCATAGTATTTGTTATTATTTCACATAAAATCACAAAATATTTTCTTTTGTATTTACTACTGGCTATGCATGCCCTTATTTAATTCCCGATTTATGTTATGTGAAGTACTTCTTCTTCTTCTTGGACATCAAAGTCTGAAATCTGATGAGAAATTCTATCATGTGAATGTATGTAAAACAAATCTATATATATAAAAGAAAGTTGTGTTAGTTACTACGCTTATAACTTAAGAACCGCTGAACTGATTTTAACGATTCATACAAATTCGGAATTGTCTCCTGTCCGAAAAGGATAATATACAAAAAAATCGCGTAAAAATGTGATATATTTACATTTTCATTTTGACTTTTGGAATGTACAATAGTAATGTTTTATTTTGCATGATTTTTTTCCATTTTGACTTACTTTTTTCTAATGTACATTTGTAGTGTTTTTTATATATTTTTTTTTTTTTTTAATTTGAATATTAATATTATTATTTAATTGACTTAATTTCTTGAGAACTAAATTGATGGAGGGTTACATGTGGTGGCGAAACGGAATAGATGATATCGAAATAATTTAACGCGATCACACCAAAGTTAAAGAAAATTACTTTTTCAAAATCGCTAAAAAATCACGAAAAAGACATCTCATTGCAAAAATTCTCAAATCGGGAAAATATCGAAAACAATTTTCATTTGAAAATAACAGTACATTCTATTGACAAACTTTGTTAGGATCTTTAAACAGTTGCTGTAAAAAATCAGCGAACAAGTTGAAGATTTTTTCAGTTTGTTATTCTTCTTTTCTCATTTTTTTGTTCAATTTGTATTATCATATTGAATTCAGTGGATTTTTTGTGAACAAAATAAAGAATAGTTTTTCACTATATACAATAAATAGGATGTTAACTGACATCTACCTTTCAACTCCAGGGCCTACATCGTGGTTCAGCTGGAAGATGCGCACACATTTAAGCAAACAAAAATGACCGAAAAAGACTAATGGGGCTCATTTCAAAGCGTGGACCTACTTCTTTCATGTGACAATAATCCATCCAATGAGAGCTCAAAATGCTATTTTTTTGGGAGTACAATCAGTAAAATACTAAATATAAAGGGTGCAAAATAGTAGAGCGAATGTGACTTTTAGTAAGAAAAGGATTTCTATCTTTGCAAAAATTCTTCCCGAACATTCAAGATACCTTAAATCGCTTTTGCAGGTCATGATTTCTTCTATTTTTGGCACTTATTTGACATCTTTGTTTCTAAGGGGGTAGAGAACCTCTTCGCATAATATTTTCGGAGTAGGGCCCATATTGGTTTTGACCACATTCATCAATTGATTTGGCTAAAAAATTGTATTTATGCTACCCTGGGGAACCATCATACAGATAATTGCCACATAGAAGTTTATTAAAGTAAAGTCCCCACATTGGAGTATCCACGAGTCCACTCTTACATCTAATGTGTGGTCAGAAAAGAAAAAGTTGTATTCTATTGAATTTGTAACCCCCAAGAGAATATTGGTTGGGAACGTAGATTTGGGATGTACATCTATATGAAATAAATTGTGAAAACATGAACACATTACAAATATAAGAAAGTAGCATGGGACTGAACATTTGTTGAATCGTCATTGAATTATACTATGATGAAAAATATGGACTTTATGGGGTCTCAAACTTACAATTTAAATGGCAAATAAAATTAATTCCCATCTTACGGTAATGTATGTAAAATAGCTATATTTTTGATTTGGCTTCTATTTGTCATATTGGATTATAAGGGGTAGAAGAAAGTTTTCAATGTAGGTCGATGTTTCGGAGTAGTGCCCATATAAAGGTACCTCCTGATTTTACCATATTTTAAAGGATTTGGATAAAAATGTGTATTTGGGGGGTGAAAATCTTCCACAAAAATTTCAACATATCTACAAATTTTAGAATTTTCTCCATATAATAGTACCCCCTCAAGTCCACCCTTTTGCGGACAAACAGACCGACATGGTTAGGGGGACTTATGAGGACTCTAATGCACAATCTAAGGCGTTAATGGGTTAAAAAAGCAATTAACTTTGGCTATTCTCAAATCATTATGAGGTGTACAAAATACAGTAAATTCCAAATTACTGCTCATTTGACTGGAAAATTTTTGCCATACTAAAAATTAATTTGATCCCTTACATGGGGATAAGGTTGATATATACTTTTCAATAGATTTGTATAGCACATCCACTCATTTGAAGCTCACGGTTTAAATATGGGTACAGGTATTTTAAAACACTTTTAATGGACCAGAACGTGAACTCTTATTGTCATATCTGTGAATAATTGTGCTTTAACAAATATACATAATAGACAAAAACTACGGGCCGGCAACGCGGACCGGGCCAGCTAGTTTTTTATAAATTAAAAAAAAAAACAGTTTTTAATATTCAAAAAAAAAATGTAACTCATTTTGCCAATAGGTTAAGTGAACCAAAGGCAGAAACTACATATACGATTTTCTGCTATAGTCAAATCAAATACCAATTTTAAACCAATTCTCTTGAAAATATAACTAAAACCATTAGATATCAACTATTCGAAGGTACCGCTATATGGGGATATAAGATAACTTGGATCTATTTAGCCAATCCACTGCCACGGAGTAAGAACCTAAAATGTGAATCAGAGTACTAAATATCCGGTGGTGCCGTTCCATGGGAAAATGTGGACCTAAACAGACAATGTGGTGACAGAGGAGGTAAAGTCTATTAAGAATTCTAAGTACCGCATTTGAAACAATGTGCCTTAATTTGCGATGGGAAAAAGTAGAGCGACATGGCACATTTACGAACTTAACCTGTTTGCTGACAATTAGCCTTCTATATCAATTCGTTCGAATTGTGACTGTCAGACAGACGGTCACAGATAAATCGACTTTGAATTCTACGCTCACCAAAAATATATATACTTTGAGGGGTCTAACATGAGTATTTCGAGGATGGACAAACGGTATTGTAGTGCTGGCAAAAATAATGTCAGTTGAGGTTATGATCATTAAATATTTATCGAATTAACATATTTGATATTAGACGCATATAAAATTACATATGTGTAGTAGAGGTTATTATTGCGTTCAACGGATAACTTAAACAAATCTATATCTTCCATGTACAAAAAACCAATTGTTGTTCGTTGGTAATTGAATTAGTTGAGAACGGCTGGACCGAATTGCATAATTTTTTTACAAACTTTCTTCATACCCG